CGGTATTATTATGAAAGTCTCTATAGTAAACACAAAAAAGACATACAAAAAATATTGAGTAGAAAGATGGTCATCGAATGAGTTGCAGTGTTCTTATTGCCATACAAGAGTAAATTTTAAAAGTTAGAAATCTCAAAACAAGAGTTTATGAATAAATTTGACATTAAGCTTATTTAATTGTTAGAGTCAATAGCTACATAATTACGAGTTAGTTTTCAATAATAATCAAAAATTGATTCTTTGATTCACAATAATCTCTCCTACAATTGCTACGACCAACATTCAGTAATAATTATTACGAGGTTTGATTAGCCCAAGTCCAAGGCATCGTAAAATTTAAGAAAAGGACTTTTGTTCTTCCTTTTTCAAAAGATATACGTACAGGCAACGTGGGGCTAATTACGGGTACGGTAAAGAAAAGTAGAAGAAAAGAAATATTTCAAAGTGGGTACGTAATTATGCTTTGAATTAGGTACTTTTACCTAAGAGAATATAACGAGAATAAATGGTTTTTCATTTTTATCATTTTTTTTTACCGTAGGTCTTAAAAGGCAGCATTACCAGGAAAATGTTTTAACACAACAAATGATGTTGTGTTGACTGCACGATTGGCGCGGGTTCTATCCCCGCATGGACGTACGGAGGAATTCTTTGTGAGAACCACAAATTGTTGTTTCGGGTCTGGGTGTCATGTGTATGAGTATGTTTGTAAACGCACCCACGACACAGTAGAAAATCCTAGTGCAAATCAACGTTTAAAAAAATGTCTTAGTCCAATTTTAATATTCCGTGCTGAGTACACGGACACATTCTGAAGTTATTATGTTATTGTGAGAACATTATGATTATGGAACGACATGCTACATCGTACTGCATTATCACTTACTACCAGGCGAGATAGTGGTCAAACGTCGACCCATCAAATATAAATATATAGATATAAATATACAGGTGAAATCACGATGTATATCTAGTATAATATTATACCTAATACTATCTAACCCGTGGGAAGCATTCGCAAGTCAGTACATTTGAATTTGTGAAAATATTAATGGGCGTTGGTTGCGAAGCTTTAAGTTTATTATTGAGGGATCAAAGGTCTAACACAATGCAGCCATGTTCAGTGCATAGTGGTTACGTTAACAATTAATGTATTCAAGTATGTTATTTTGTATATGTAAGTTATTTTGTATATTCCACATTTATCTACATTGCAAATAAGAGATATAAATTGTAAACTTTTTCTGACAAACTCAAACTACTTAGTGAAAGCGCAATATAATAGTTTCTCCTTTCTTGCCATCAGATATATCATATCACTATATTTTTCTTCCACGTATTTTTTGTTTTTTTTTATTTATTTAATTCAACACATCCTAACAGGTTACACTCAATGCGATAATATTATCACTCAATATACAAACTTATAATTAACATTGTAATAACACAGCTACATTGATTGCACTTATCTATCAAGTAGATATTTTTTTCTTCTTATAACGCCATGGAAATCCCCATATACTTCCCCCGCTGTGGTGAAACTACCGCGGTGTTTCTCCTCTGCCTGTGGCCGTGACCCGGGGCGCCCTTGCGGAATGCACACGGCAGGCCTCGACCTACCACTATATTGCGGCAGGTCTCACCACGTAGCAGCCCACAGAAGCTGCGATTTTCTTCCTTAAGTAGCGTGCGTGGAACACAACGGTAACACCTACTCCCGCCAATATAGCGGACGACTGACTCCCCTAATCAGTCGCCCGCAGGACTCTCTTATGGAGGTCGCATATCAGCTACCTCGCGGCGCGTCTACGGCGGGAAGGGAGAGAGCTGGACGCCTCCCTCTCCCTTTCCGCCACTTCCTAATAACAGGAACTGTGTTTAAAGACAGTAAGAAAGTTTAACAAGAAACAAAAACAAATCAGGACGCAAGGTACAAAAACCCGCAATCTAATCGCGTTGTTTACATTTTCGTCAAATACGTCACGATAAAAATACTTCGCTACATGGTAATGGAAATGTGAAGCGTAAACTGTAAATAAAAAAGGGTTAGGGTTGACTGCGGCGGCATTTATTCTCCCCGTAGCTCTCGGATTTTCTAGTAACACAGTAATTTTGTTTTGCAATTAAATCCCACCTTTTTCTTGTTTCGTCCGGATTACTTTCAGCCCTACGCTGCGGTGCGGTGTGGCAATACGATATCTTTTTAACCACTTTTTATCGGATTATTTCTCCTTTAATCTATATTTAGACGTAGGTGGTATGATTTCACTTGTATGTAATTGGAATACAAATAAAAATAAAACATTTTTTAATAAAAGTATCAGTTGAAACTGATATTGATATTTAAGTACACCCGTAGATCGTTAGATGGCGCTGTTATAAATTGTTATTATAATTTACTCTGTTATTTCGACATCCCAAATGGGGTCTCTACAATTCTATACACTAAAAAATATCATCATCTATCGTCATCACTAAATAACCGTAATACATTTTCAGCCCTTTGCACTAAAATTGTAAATGTACCTACATTTAATTGTAAATCTAAAACACTACCAGTACACAAGGATACAAGTCATAAAAATATTACCTAAAACATTACGAAAAGATTTGATTACCGTCTGCCTTCACGACATTGTCACAAAAAACCCGTGAACCTCGTAAAATAAATAATTGTCTTCTATTTAGTTCAAAATATTTACAGTTTTATATCAACACTACAACATTTATAGTGGTTTTATCCTCGAAAGGGTAGACAGATGTGCCTTTATCCTACAACGCAACACTAATTTTTTTTCTCGTATATGTTTTGAGACTCATAAATATGATATACTGTTCTCAACTGCATAAAATTCCGAGGGTTATTTCAGTTATTCATTGTCATTTACAAAAAATTCGAATACCAGAATTGATTGGAACAAAAATAGAATAGACATTACGAATGCGCATTAAAACGAACAGAACTTTAAAACAAAATTAAAATTCTGCAAATAAAACCTCTCCAACAAGTAGTTAACAACACCCACGCTGCATCAGACAAGGCATAAATTAAAAAATAAAAATACAAAACAAACAAATAACAAGATTACCCTGAGAGAGAAATAAATAATGCAGCCGAAGCTAAAGAACTTTTTAACGCTCTCCAAAAACTTTTCCTTGTGCTTAATTACGTTTTCATTTATCTCTCGTCTCGTCCAGTTTGAAACAGTAGCGACTAAACAAGGCCTACTGCAGACTAAAACCTCTTTAGTTACTCTTTAATAATACATTTCTACATTCCGAAATAAAGTATGACGTAGAACAAAGCGTTTGGTGAATTGTAAGAGAATAATTTTGTTCTGAAGAGTTGATTTTGACAATGTTGTATTTGTTTTATTTTATAAACAAAACATAGTTTTTTCTCTACGATAAGCACTGCCTGCAGTGGCTAGACGCTAGTCACATCTGTTGGTGATCAGATAACTATTAGGGAAGATGTGTCCTAAAATGAAGACCGCGTTTAGCTAAACGTAGTGTAGACCACTTTCCGGTTAGGTGGAGTGACGATATCAGCAAAGACTGCGAGGTAAAGCAGTGGTTTGATGCATAAACCTGAAGATCTAGCTTCATCCAATAGTAGCCAAAAAGGGACTGTTGATCATAAAGGTTTTATCTTCGAAGCAATTTAGATCATATCGGTCATAGAATTAGACTCAAGACTGAAGTTACATTCCTCACGTAGCTATTCATGCGAGTAATTTCTCTTAACTATCGATTTAATAAAAGCAACATGTCACAGGAAGGATATATTATGGTAAATACAGTGACAATTATTATGATTCAGATGCTATTATAGCAATCAAACACGGAAAAATATACAAGTGAAATATATTTTCCTCAAATGGTTTATTACCATATTGGGGTAATAATATGCATTTACGACGCATTTATTGGATAACTATTTGATAGTACCAGTAGTTTACTGATAATAAATACCTAATTAGTTCGACTGTGTAATAAAATACTGGAAGCCAATGTAATAATTGTTTCGCTTACACAGTATTTAAACAAAGGACGATGCCCAAACAATAGGTATCTAGGTATACTTTTAGGAGCTCATCTTATAATATATAATTTCAATTAACAGTGAAATCTCAATTAAAATGAAACGCTTCTTTGCGATTGTTGCAAAAGTACTTCTTCCTTATCACAAGAATTCAGCGAAGAGGGAGCGGCAGGGATTGTCTGTCGAATTGAAACTGACGTGAGCTAGCCACCTGGTTCCTTTCGACGAAATTAAAAAAGTTTCAGAAACACGGGAACTCGGTAGGTCTCGTTCATTTAAATGCTAAGGGATTCCGTGTTAGTATTCATTGCGAGTTTTGTCATTCAGAGAAAAGTTTTGCTTTTTACCAGTCTCACTTTACGCTGGTTCGAAATTTGCATTTTTTTTTTGTTTTTTGTAAATGATGTGACAGTAGCTGGCAACTTTTCGTCTAATGTAAACTTTTTGATGTTCGAACGAATAATTGGGGTTTTGAATATCGAATGTCAGGATTTTTACTTTTAAATTTTCATTTGTCATGTCATGAATAATGGTAGGTGCACGCGGTACGAGGAATTTGGAAAATTCCAACCTGCGCAAATTTTAATGCCGTCACCACAAATATATTAGGTATAGGAAAATGGTTATGATTACCATAACCATTTTCCAGAACACTGGACTTACACAGCGACAATAAATCATGAAAATAAAGTAAACAGCGCCTTTATTAAGATTAGTAAATAATAACAATAAATAGTGAATTCCATCTAAATAACTACAGCTTGGTTTCAATTACATTGCTAAGAATATAACTAACATTTTACAAATTAAAATTCATAATCCGAAATAACTTTCATGAAAAAAAAATCTTAATCAGCCACTGTTAGGTATATGTAGTAACTAAATAATAACTAATTTCAAACAAAACAAACAAAAATAATGATCAAGTAATAAAGGAATTCACTTGTTCATGAACTTAAACACCAGTCATGATAGCAATGTATGCTCTGACATTTATGTTGCCAATGCGAGTATAAACTCCTGGAGAATTGGGGCGAGCACAGCCATAACCGAACGATGTAACACCAGCCAGCAAATCGCCAGTCACCGCAGGACCACCGGAATCTCCCTAAATTAACAAAAACATACGTTAATTATCATGTTCGACAGCTTACAAAAGAAACTGTTTGATGAGGAACCCGACTAGTTTCAAAACATACTAGGGGCTCATATTCATTAGGAGTATTGCAGCAAATGGTTGCACGACAATTGTGTGTATAATATAATAATTATGACTGCCTCGTTGGCCGATTTGTCGCAAGTGTGACTGCCGGGCGAGGGTCTCGGGTTCGATTCCCGGGTCGGGGCAAAGTATTACTGGGTTTTTAAAAATCTCCGTAGTAGCACGGAGTCTGGAAATGTGCCCGGTATATGGCAATAGGCTCACCCCCTATTACATGGGACTCTTAACATAAATATTGAAAAGTGGGTGTTACATTGTACAGTGGCATTAAGTGCCGTAATGTGCACATCTGCCTACCCCTTCGGGGATAAAAGGCGTGATGTTACGTTAAATGTTATGTTATGTTTATAATAATTATTTTAGTGTGTCTCACAAAAGCTATTTATTCTTTGAATTAAACTTTATATTAAACTAGCTTCTGTACGCGAAATCCCATTTCCCCCCCGTTCCCGTTCGTGATTTTCGGTAAAAGTAAAAAAAAAAGTTTTAGATAAAAAGTATCCTATGTCCGTCTCCTGGTTCTAAGCTACCACCCTGCCGATTTTCATCCAAATCGATTTAGTCGTTCTTGAGTTATAAATAGTGTAACTAACACGACTTTCTTTTATATACCTAATATATAGATTTAAGTTTAATCAAGAATAGCCAAGACTGTGCGGTTGATGCTGCCGCCGCTCCCGCGCAACGAACAGCGGTTTCGATTTCTGCACGGAGCAACTCTTTGTGTGATCCACAAATTATTATTTAAAGTCAATGTGTACGTGAAATTGTATGTGTGTATAAAGCCTTGTCGAGGTATCCTTATGGTAATCTAGGGAAAACCCACGAGAACATACTCAATCATAAGATTGTCTTAAATATTTACTTGACATGTATCCCTCCCGCCTTCAGTAAAGCCTGCACAGAACATTCTGGTAGTGATGCCTCCGAGGATTGCGTCGCATCGTGTTCTTTCTACAGCTGGAACTGATGTAACCTTTAACGTCTGTGAGGTAGGGCCACCTTCCTACAAAATAAAATCAACACTCTTTTTACATGAGAATAAACCAATATAAGAATGAAAAAAACTTAAAAAAGGAAACCTAGGTGTTGCCATTACACGTTTCCAAAATTCATGTGATTAACGGAAAAACAGAAGAAATTAATCTTGCTATATTAAATCGTAGCAAGAATTTTTAATCGATTAAAACTTACGCTAGTCGCCCCCCAGCCAGTAACAACCACTGTTTCCCCATCGGTAACATCAGAGCCGTATCCAACCATCCTAATCGTTCTGGCATTAGTACCATCCAGGGTCATCCCTTCAGCTACGGTCACTATACCAACATCATAATCGCTGGTCGTATCATCATAGAATGGATGGGAACTGAATACAGACGTTTCATACTCCAAGCCACCACTATCGGAATTAGTACTTCCAATCCGAACATAAATTGTTTGAATTCTGAAACAACCAAAAGTTTTTTGACCAAAGAATGACAACGTAGTTATTCTATCAGCCTTTGTTAGATGAGAGGCGAAATTTTTTAATAACCTGTTACATAAACTGTCGAACACCGCGAGGACACCGGTGACCGCAACCTATTGTTTTTTAATTGTGTCTATAATGACGGTACCTACTCAATGGGTTAAAGCTGGACCTTTTAACATTCTAAAATTGCGATCAACGTTCCTAAATAATTGCTGGCTATTAATTCTTGAATACTTATTAAAAGCATTACAATAACAATACTAATGAGTTGCCAATTTTCTAGAGTATAGTGCTTGTGCAAAACCAAATCTAACTACAATTTAATAAAAATATTACGTCAGTTATTCTCAAGGGACTTCAAAAATTCGTGTTATTCGTAACGCATGAGTTTAATCATTGATGTTACAGTTCTCCATTTGATTTCATTAATTGCCTTTCACCCAGTGGTGGTTGTCTTTAGTAAGTTTAATACCAGCGGATTAAAAATGAACGTACTTTTCAGTCAAATATCTATAGACAGGGCCCTAACATAGGATATGATTAGAAATAGACTTATTGAGAGTCCAGTAACAGTATATCCGACCCCAGACCAAACTTGGAAAACATGAGTATGACATAAACAACTTTCATTTTTTCCTCATTTGTGGTAATTAATACAATGTATCCTTATTAATAATTACAGTGAATTTTCCTATTATAATAATAATTCATATTCCTATAATATATTAAATAAAAGTTACCATATAAATAATGAAATCTAATACCATTAAACAAGCAATTTTTGTATATATGCAATAATATGTATATATCAACGATTTTGGAAAGAACTCCATCGACTGTCTTGAAATTTTGTAGTAATGGTGTTTCGGGCTTAGGATCTAGCTAGGTTTAATTTTCAGAAATTATCGTTTTGTCCGTGTTTTCATTGAATAAACCCTCCTATAATTTTATAAAAACGCGAAACAATTTTTGCCACTACCAATAATTAGCTTATTCAAAACATCGGGTGCCTTCCTCCCAGGATATTCGGGTTCAATCCTCGACACGAATATTTCTTTTAATTTACCTTTTATTCCATTTTATTTTTTGTATTTTGATTCTCTGTTTTTTTTCTAAAAAACATAATATGTACTAAAATTAACTCCGAGCAAAACTCGGTGATCCAAGTACTTGCAAATAATGGGTTAACTCAGTAACTTACTAATATTATATGTCGCGTCTTGGGTGGCCGAAATGCGAAGCATCGGGTCTTCACCATGATCCGACATGGTTACCGCTACACTTGGGCACTATGTGGTTACTCGAGCGAAAGACGATTTTGATTTTAAAATTAATTTATTCCAACAATAATTACAATCAAGAAACAGACACGTGCGTTGGTACCGGGCGTTTGCCAAGACGGTCTCAACTAGACTGATCCAACGATCGATCCTCCCTCCGTCCTCGCCACATCCCTTCTCTACCGACGATCGTGTCCAAGCGGTGGGGCGCGCTTGCGTTTCTGATCACGTGATTATGAATCAATTCGTTAGATGGCGCTGTACATCGTACCGTAGCGCCATCTATCCACGACACGGCCATCCCTGGCTAGCACCCGTCCTCGGGTGTAGTATCTGTGGACAAAAATACGCTCTGAGGATACACTAGCTCGGCTATCCTGCCAATGCAAAAGAAGGTGGCTAATTCTCATCACATTTTATTTCCGCTAACTCTACGTACATACAATAATAATCAATTCCCTGTTGTCAGGGTTTTCTACATAGTGTGTACAACATTACTTATTCAAAGAGGCCCGATCGACAAGTCAACAAAGCAAAATCATCACCACAAATCTGAACTAAATTTCAAGGCCAGTGTATACTCAACTCGTCATAACCCATGCACCAACATAGGTCAGAGTCGCACCAACGACTGTTTACAGACTCTCTGCCAAATGTGCTACAACACATGAGGCACTCTGTGCACCAACACAGATCAGAATCGCTCCAACGATTCTCAAAACATCCTGCGCAATATGTGCTACAACACATGAAGCGCTCTGTGCACCAACACAGACAGAAATCGCACCAACGATTTCTCAGACCCATCGCCACATGTTACTCATGAGGTGCGGTCCCTAGTTTCGACCCATCGTCCCATGTTACTCATGAGATGCGGTCTACAGTTTCAGAGTATGAGTATACATGCCATTTTTAATCGGAATTGGTTTCACTACCACTGTCATCAACTATTACGTCTAATTCTCGAGGCACTTGGTGATCGGGGATCTTTCTTACACGATCATGGGGGTATTTGTACGTTCGCTTGGAGTCAAGTGCCTTTAGTAGATATCTATCCCCGTCTAACACATCAATGATCTTAAATGGACCTTTAAATTTAGGGTCTAATTTAGTCTGATTTCTTTCCTCATTTTCAATCAAAACATAATCATTAATGGCTAACTTAGACACTTTAGCCTTATTTTGATCAAATCGATTTTTGTCATACACAGAATTTCTCTCAATATTTTGCGTCGCGTGCTCTCTGACTTCGTCCAAGTTAACGCCAATCTCGTCATCAATAGCGGACATTAGACTAAGCGGTCGTGCTACCCTTCCTACCATTAATTCGAGGGGGCTGTATTTAGTTACCCTATTAATAGTGGAGTTCATAGCCAGCTGAACCTCTCCTAATGCGTCCTGCCAAGATCGATCACGACTAGTCTCTACAGCTGTCAGCATACTCTTGAGGGTACTCATCACTCTCTCGACTTGACCGTTCGCACGACTGCCTCCAGTAGCTATTAAGTGCAACTCAATATTGTTAGCAGTACAGAAACTAGAAAAATCTTTGCTCGCGAAACAACGACCTTGGTCTGCTATTATCCGTTTCGGTGCACCAAACAAAGCTATGCAAGACTTAATAGCACAAATACTACTGTTCGTGTCAATATAGAGTGAGTGACGAAGCAACACAAATTTGGTAAACGCATCTATGATGACAAACACGTACTCCTTAATGTCGTTCTTACCCGATAGTTTGCCAGAAGCATCGACATGAATGGTATGCCATGGAACGTTGAACTTGGGAATTGGGTGAAGTTCTGCCTGAACTTTGCCTGAGTGGGACTTGGCTACCTTGCAGGTGATACAATTATCCACAAATTTCCTAACGTATTTCGACATGCCGCTGAACCAATAGTGCTCGTAGACCTTTTCGAGCGTTTTCTCCCATCCTAAATGCATAACCGACTCATGGATGTTATTAATTACAGACCACCTGAGAGCTCTAGGTACAATAGGCAGACATCGAGTACGACCATTACGTTGAACTTTACGAAACAAAATGTTTTTACGAATTTCGTAAGTTTTGCGAGTTTCCTCAGGAAAAACTTCGTTACGCAGATCAGACACTATCTTACGGATCTCTTCGTCCTTTTCCTGTTCGGCTTGTAACCAGTTACTCGAAAGTTCAGCTAAATTGACGCGCTTTTGTTCTACCCGAGTGATAACTACCTTGGATGTAGGGAGAGGATTTCTGGAAAGGAAATCTACGTGGCTCATCCTACTGCCTTCGCGATAAATAATGTCAAACTCAAATGACTGCATGTAAGCCCACCAACGATGAACTCGCGGAGACAAATCAGTTTTGCTTTTGGAAGCTTTAACAGCACTGCAGTCTGTCACAACGGTAAACTTACGACCTAGCAAATAATGTCTAAAATGCTTAATAGCATTAAAGACGGCTAAAGTTTCCAGTTCGAATGAATGATACTTCGATTCGGCTGGGGACGTACGACGACTATAATAAGCAACCACATGTTGTTTTCCATTAATCTTTTGAATAAAAATGGCACCATACCCTTCAGCACTGGCATCGGTATGTAATTCAATAGCATGCGCAGGGTCAAATATTGTTAAAACTGGCTCACTAGTCAAATAAGAAATTATTTTCTGTCGAATGGCCTCGTGGCTGGGTTCCCAACTGAGAGACCTATTCTTGCCACTTGTCAACCGAAACAGAGGAGCCATGATTTTCGAGAACTGTGGAACAAATTGTCTGAAGTAAGTGGCCAGACCTATGAACTGTCTCAGCTGAGTGATGGTTTTAGGTGGGGGAAGTTGGGACAAAGCTACAATTTTATTAGGGTTGGGTCTAATTTGGCCATTTTCAACAACAAAGCCCAAATATTCAACTCGTCGCTTAAGAAATGAACATTTTGCGAAATTCAGAGAGAAACCAGCGTTTGTCAATTTATCGAGAACAGTGCGAAGACGCACCAAACTCTCCTCCACAGACGACCCTATCAATAGAATGTCATCAACATATGCGACAGCATAGCTATGAGCAAGGTCACCTAATGCTTTCGTCACTGCTCGCTGATATACTGAGCTTGCATTCTTCAAACCGAACGGCATGGTCAAATATTCCCACTGACCGTCAGGTGTGACGAATGCAGTTCGCTCTATTGACTCAGGATGAACTGGGATCTGATGATAACCTGATAGCATATCAAGGCATGTGAACCATGTAGCACCTCCTAACCTAGACAAGAGATCCTCTATCAATGGCAGTGGAAACCTATCCGACACTGTGTTGTCATTCAGCTCCCTGTAGTCGACGCACATGCGATCCGAACCATCCTTCTTTTTAACGAGCAGCACTGGACTGGAAAACGGCGAACAACTCGGCCTAATTACACCTGCTTCCTCCAACTCACGAACCTTGGAAGCAACTACTTCGCGTTCACTAGCACTAAGCCTATAAGGGCGACGGTTAACTGTACGACTAGGGTCTATAAGCCTTATTTGCAACTGTCCTGTTGTAACACGGGATGTAGAAACACCACTAGAAAACGAAGATGCATATTCTAACAAGAGATCAATTAATTGGGAACGGAACTCTCTCGGACCGTCTGTATTAACTTGGCCGAAATCAATTTGACAATGATAATCACTCTTGTGTTTATTTGAGACATCACATAACCTAACAATTTTTTTACGACACAAAACAACACTATCAGATGACATACTAACGTTGAATCCCTGATCTAAAATCTCGCGCCCAATTAAAATATCATTTTTGAGAGAACTATCCGGTACAACATGAAATAAAATCTCTAATCGCAAATTATTAATCATAACCTCTGAAAGAATTTGTAAGGTGCTTTGTACACTACCATGACCGATTCCCGTTAAATTTACAATGCTATTAACCCGTTTGCCACTAAACTTTGACGCAATATTGTCTTTAATCAGAGAGCACTCGGCGCCAGAATCATAATAAAATGGATACGACTCACCAGAGTTCATCAACACACCGCCAGGATTGCTAACATAGCAAACATCAACGCGACGATCGCTGCTCGCTGCTGCTGCAGGCGCTGCCACTGCGCTGCTTGAGCCCCGTGCGCTAGCACCTCCGCCATTGCTTAGTGGACATTTGGCAGCAAAATGTCCAGTTTTGCCGCATCGAAAACAGATGATATCCGACCGCTGCTTCGAACCCGTAGAAGTTGACGCTGAAGTGGTAGCATTGGTTGCTCTGCCCTTCACTTCACCTTTCCAACGGCAGTCAAATGATCGGTGACCTGGTTTACCGCAGTTGTGACACTTCAGTGTTAACGGTTGCAACTTTGATCTCTTGAAGTCTGGTGCGGCCTCGGTTACGTTACCAATCGGAGCTTTTCTCTTCAAAAATGAGAACGCTTGAAGTTCACACTGAAGCTTGTTTCTATTCTTGACGTCAGTAGTGAAGGCCAGCCTCTGAATACGCCCATCAAATTGTGCCATGTGAGCCAGCACCGTAGATATGGCTATCTGCTCAGCACTCATGTTTTGCCAGCGCGATGTGAGTGTAGAAAGCAATCGCGCGGCGTAGGCGGCATAGCATTCACCTTCCTTAGGCTTGCTATTCATTAGTTTGACGAGGGTAGCGGCTGGTGTGTCCACGCAATCAAACCGGGATAAAAACAAGCTTTTGAAGTCACCCCATGTCATGCCCGCAAACGACACTTGTGCAAGCCAACGTGAAGCACTTCCTTTTAGAGCCTTGCTTAAGGTGATTATTAGCGCACTTCCATGAAGCGGAACTTCCGATAAGCACAGATCTGCTGTAGTACACCAAGCACGTGCGTCCACGTCCGGTTTATCTGGGTCGAATTCCGGCAAAGAAATATGCTTGGCACCTGATGGACCCCTGACAGCTTCTATGAGGGCCATCATATTTTGATTTTGTGCCGCCAGCAACGTACGAAGCAAGTTTTCGTCACCGCGTGACGTCATCGCTCCATTCTCCATATTTTCATCAGCTCGAGTGAATCCCGCTTCTGATGTCGCGTCTTGGGTGGCCGAAATGCGAAGCATCGGGTCTTCACCATGATCCGACATGGTTACCGCTACACTTGGGCACTATGTGGTTACTCGAGCGAAAGACGATTTTGATTTTAAAATTAATTTATTCCAACAATAATTACAATCAAGAAACAGACACGTGCGTTGGTACCGGGCGTTTGCCAAGACGGTCTCAACTAGACTGATCCAACGATCGATCCTCCCTCCGTCCTCGCCACATCCCTTCTCTACCGACGATCGTGTCCAAGCGGTGGGGCGCGCTTGCGTTTCTGATCACGTGATTATGAATCAATTCGTTAGATGGCGCTGTACATCGTACCGTAGCGCCATCTATCCACGACATATATTATATACTAGCAGCCCGTCCCGACTTCGCACGGGGTAGACAATTATTTATTTTTGGAAATTTGGATTGTTGTAGTGACATAACTACAATAGTTGGACATATGCTATCGAGGCGTTTTTTGTAGACATTATGATGTTCTTCAATATTGTTATACATTATTTTGTTCTGTCGCTAATAGTTTCGGTAGCGCATTCGACGAAAGACATTTTAAGACTCATTTTTTTACACCTTCGGTTACATTGTTCAAATTTTACCAAGGATCCCTAATTTTTTTCAAAATAAAATGTAACCTATGTCAAATTGGAAGAATGTAGCATTCTATTGGTGAAAGAAGTTTTTAAATCGCCTCAGTACTTTTTGAGCCTATTCATTACAAATATACAAAAATAGGTACAAATTTTTCCTCTTTGTAATATTAGTTATTAGGTATATATTTTATATATATATAGTAACGTCATTAGAGATGAAAATAACTTCAAAGCAACTCGATTGTTGTAATCACATAATATTTTATTACCAGAAAACATTTTCAAAAGGAAAATGTGTTACTTAAATGATGTTCAAAACTTTATTATTTTATTAGGTACGGCTGACGACGTTAAAGATGCAACATAATAATACTTACCTTGCAAGACAATGTGCAGCAGTTACAACGTAATACTGACTGACGATGGAACCTCCACACTGGTAGTAGTCCCTACCATCGTACAGCAGTAGGTAGGCCTGGTAAGGATATGTTTGTATAGTAGTATCATTACCACCAACGATCTTTCCTCCGTCATCTTTTTTCACTGGCCGCCTTTTACATAAGACATCTACAAAAAAAGAAAATTAGCAATGAATATTGTAAAAAAGGAAAATGTACTAAAATCAAATTTTTAGTATTGGAGAGCCGTGCTTCGGCACGAACGGGCTCGACCGGAGTGATACCACGGCCTCACAGAAAACCGACGTAATCCCCAAAATCTATTACGGACTAAAAACCACCCCGTCCCTACTCCTGCACTTCAAGCCTACATTTTGCACTGATATTTATCACTTAGGAGAATGTTTTAGTATATTAGTTAACCAACTTCACAAAAGAGTGGGATGAAGTCGGTTTTTTATACATAGTTTCTAAAAGAATTATTTCGAGTATAATATAGTTTATACAAAATAAAATTGAAAGTATACCTTTTCCACAAAAAGCAACAAATAAAAGGATAAAGATTGTAAACTTGTCCATCTTTCTGGTGATGGGAAACGTTGTGTGCAGTTCTTTGGCAGAATTATGTTTAAATACTTTCTTTACCTATGGTTACAATGTAAGGGTCATTATTGTTCTAATTACGGGCATTTAAATAAGTAATTGTAGGTCACTGTGATAACGCCCCTATTCAAGCATTAAGTTGAAGATTTTTTGTATTTATATCTTTTTATTTTTTGACACTTCTATTGTTGTAATTGCTCTCATTACACGCCCTGTTGTAGTCTAAACTAAGGTTGTTCGATTATTATTTTTAGCCTCGTAGAATAACTCAAATTGGATTTTTATCTAGGAATGCATTTATTTAAATGTACATACTTTTACCAGTTATTATGGTATTTAAATGCATATTCATATTTCTCTGTTTCTGTAGCTTTACTTTATCAGTCACTATCATGGATAGAAATAATTCTTCTAGTATTTAGTTTTGTATTTGCTTATGTTGGTCAAGTCAACTTCTTGTCACTACGCATAAATTCAATTTTTTTGTAGTGAATCAGAAGTTCTAAGTTATTCATACACAATGAATTGAAATGTAATTGTTATGAACGTGGCAACTGTTTTACAAAAGAAATTCTCCAATAATAAATAATGTAACTATATTTTTTTTATTGATACACAATACCTTGTGTATGTACCTATAGCAGTGCTATATCAAATAAGATACATTAACACATTCAACAAAAACACATCATGTGCATATAAAAAATTTGCCTGAAGAATCCAACTCAGATGGGTATCGTTTAAGAAGTTACACTTGAACGTCTCATTTTTTTATGGGGATAAGCCGGTAAACGAGCTGTGAATCACCTGATGGTAAACAATCGGCGCCGCCCATGGATATCCGAAACACCAGAGCCGTTATACCTAAGTAGGTATGTTAGTACCGACGTGAAGCAACGCTTGCGTTGTGTTTCGTCGTGTGAGTGAGGTTACCTTCCCCTTCCCCAATCTCCCCAATCCTTGAATCCCCAACGATCCTCAAACTCCTAATCCCCAAAAAGCCGGTGACGCACTTGTAACGCCTCTGGTGTTCCAGGTGTCCATGGGCGACGCTGATTGCTTACCATCAGGTGATCCGTCTGCTCGTTTACCGGCTTATGCCATAAAAAAAATGTTACCTGCCCTAGGGGGCTAGATATTTGACGATTATTGGGGATTCGGGGATTGGGAAGATTGGGGAGAGTAGTAATTATACCTCCGGTAACCTCACTCACACGCCAAAACACAACACACGCGTTATTTCCTATTATTTCACGCCAGGTTTCTGTGAGGCCGTGGTATCAATCCGGTCATTCGTACCGAAGCTCTCTCACAGTGTCCCACACTTATACTCAGACGATGATCAATATGTACCAGCGATGGCACATGGTACAGAGACGTGGTCCCTAAAAACATATTAACGGTTAGTTGTAGTGGAATAAAATGATGATGATAAATTCTATTCACCAATGGACATTTTCCGGCTGATGATGATGATTATGATGTGGTGACAAAATAAATAAATATTTTTTTATTAAAAAAATGTAATCAGAAATTTCATATTTATGTCTTAATTCTGAACTAATTTTGAAACCTGTATACCTTAGACAATATAAAGAGAGCTTAGCAGAGACAACTTAAGGTCTAATTAACAATTGTATTATGATCATCCTTACATTATTTGATTACTTATTTGATTACTCAAATTACATTTATGTATTATAGAAATGTAACATAACATAACAGCCGAGTGGTCGAAAGTGTGTGTGGCAAGGGGTCTCGGGCTTGATTCCCGGGTCGGACAAAGTATTAATGGGTTTTTCAAAAAACTTTTCAGTAGTAGCACGGAGTCTGGAATTGTGCCCGGTATATGGCAATAGACTCTATCCCTATTACATGGGACTCATAACATAAATTGTGAAAAGTGGGTGTTACATTGTACAGTGGCATAATGTACACCTCTGCCTACCCCTTCGGAGATAAAAGGCGTGATGTTATGTTATGTTATGTTATGTTATCATCGTAATACTATTAGCCATAAGTATAGACCACTTCTAAACAAAAGGCTGCCTTCTGACGGGCATATCATATCGACTTCCAGTTAGGCCAGATAGGTCAGTTCTCCGAAGTATGTGCCCAACCCACTGCGACTTCATTTTGCCAATTTGCTAGGCTATATCAGCAAGTTTTGTCGATGTGTAAATCTCCTTATTTCTACTTTGTTCTCACACAGTAACACCGAGCATATCCTTTGTAATATATCGCCTGCGAAACATAGAAGTTATTATTTTTTCATGTGTCCACCTGTGTTGTACAGACTTACCTACGTCAATCTCGTACACTCACTTTCCTGTTTCATCCAACTCGACTTGCATTCGGTTCTGAGCATTGACCAAATGTAGAGTGTGAACTTAAAATTAAAGTGATAACGCGTGGAATATACTTTATAATTTGCACTGAATATTTTGTCGGTTCAGTGACGTGACGCAGGAACATTACGAGGTAAGATTTACCTAGAACTAAGTTACGTTGTATATTAATTGCAATTGGTCTATCTGGAAGTCACTAGGGACGCTTATATTCGACGATTTTTGGGATTAAGTTATTGATTATATTCATTTTTGATAATAATATCAAACTTTTTGACGGCCTCGCTGGTCGCAAGTGCGACTGCCGAGCGAGGGATCATTTGATTGATTTGCGGTCGAGTAAAAAATTGTTATTTTTTTTTACTTTTCCGAATTGTTATTGTAGTACGGAGTCTGCCTGGCATAATATGGCAATAGGTTCACCATTACATGTGACCCATAACTAACGTGATCATTTATTTTGACTCAAAACGGGGGACATTCATTTATTTAGATTCAGTCAGGCATCTACATAGTTGCGGTTTGGTCGGTCGGTCGGTCATCAAAGTTTGTGTTTACATTAATTCTATAATATGATCTACATATTAAAGAACCTGTAAACACAAACTGTACAAAAATAGGAACTTAAAGTTTTTGCGACTGTAATTCGTCTAAAATTAGCGAGTTCTATATGACTTCATATTGCTATCGTACACCACACCGAGCCGTCCGAACGGTCGTCGCACAGGTTCGACTATTCATATCTGAAAACGAGACGATTTTGCGTGCCAGATATCATTTCGAGGACAACGGTACTCGTAATTAAACATTATTAAATGCAATGTTTAATAACTTGAGACAAGCCGACACGAATTACAACCATCAAGTATATTTTTACAACAAAACATTGATAGAAATGCACAACAATATTATGTCAGTGCACAGAATGCGAGCAGTGATCCTCGTAATGGCAGTGGCCAGTGCAGTGGCGGATAAAATAGGCGCGGAGAACCTAACGGGATACCGGGGCTCCGGCTCGACGTGCAGGAGAAGGAACAGAGTGGTTTTTAGTCAGTAAGAGTCTGACACTCCCTCCCGCCTATGTTTTGCCTTAACAAATGAATAAAATAAATGAAACGGCTTTTTTAACAATTTACTAAAAATTTTTTTAGAAAAACGGACACGATCTGCCTACAAGTAGAATTTTATAACAGAGCATTAATAGAAGTGTACAACAATATTGTTTCAGTGCACAGAATGCGAGCAGTGATCCTCGTAATGGCAGTGGCCAGTGCAGCGGCGGAGCTAGCTCACGTCAGCACGGATATTGCAGTCCCCACGGTACTGGAAGGAGCAGCTCCCGAGGACGTGCTCCTGTATCTGTACGACGTGGTGCTCACATCCTACATGCTGAATGAACCTGACAAAGAAGGCAGTATTGCTAATTCAGGGCCATGCCCTGGAGACATGCCGCGGTTGTCATCTGGAATGTGTACGCCAGTACCACCACCGGCTTCTTAGGTGTATAATATCTATCTATATCTATGTCTAAATATAACAAAATCGTAGGAAAATGAAAACTGTACTTTGAATATTTTTTAAGAATGCTTGGCGTGATCTGCAATCGATATCACGCTATCATTTCCGGGGGAAGACCTGTGAATCACTATTCCACGCGGACGAAGTCGCGGGCACAGCTAGTGTGATATGAATGAATGAAATGAAAATGAAACATCTTTTTAGGTAGTTACGGACATTAATATTTTTTTAAATATTAGCACCTAAAAACTTTTAGAATAAATGTTCTTGTGAAAAATGTTCCAATATTTATTTTCTGTGTTAATAATTTTATTTTAAAATAGATTAAAGTTAGTTTCCTTTAAAAATAACTGAAATTTATGATATTTGGGAGTGGGGAATCCAATCTCAATCTCGACGTCATCTATTTTTAGCGAGATTAATCTCATAGACAAAAATGGACGAGACTTCGAGGGATTAATAAGATTATTTTAGATACTAAAGGATTTTTGTTTGATATTTCAAGAGAAGACTGTCGTTTCCTTCAAGTGTTATTTTAATAGTTACGAACGTCAACGTAGAAGTAGTAGTAAGCTATCAAAAAATCATTAAAAAAACTATATTCTGTCTTCAACTTCGTTCGGGTAGGTCTACGCAGAATTCGTTTATTCCAATCATCGAGAATTTTTTTTTATAAAATAATGTTTATATTTAAACACACACAACTGCTAATCTCGCGAGATCTCGCTTGAGCCCTTTCCTCGGGAGATTTTTAATCCCTAGATATGACGCTAGTGCAGTGAATACATCGCGTCTGATGACTCTTTGAGGCGCGCGCGGAACGCGACGGATGGGGCCCAACAGGGCTGATGCCGATTCGAAGTCGCGGAGAACCTAACGGGTAACCGGGGCTCAGGCTCGACGTGCAGGAGAAGGAACGGGGTAGTATTTGTATGTCAGTAAGAGTCTGACACTCCCTCCCGCCTCACCCAGGCGGAAGCAGACATTCGATGATTTTCCCGCCTTATAAAAAAAAGAGAGTGCAGTGAATACATCACGAAATTTGCAACAGGAATAGATGGTCTAGATTAACACACCAGCTACTTTTTATCTGTCGATAAGAGAGAGAGG